GAATCAGTACAGCAACTGCTCTGTTATTAACTCTCAGGTTAGATTCAGTTTATTTTAGGCTCCCCCTGCACTTTCAGTGTTTGACATGGCACAGACTTCTCTCCTGACAACGTCTAGCTGCCTTGTAGAGCTCACCAGGAAGGTAGCTGGAGATCTGGGTAGGAGACAGTCGAAGTTTTTCGGTGCCTGAGACTGAAAGGATGTCTGGGACAATCAGATAAAGAACCTGGGCTGGTTGTTTCTGCTCAAAACATCAGCAGAGAAATAGTTCATTTAAATTATCCTTAGGTTTCAGAATTAAAACATCAGTTCCTGGGAGACTGAAACATCAACTGAAGGAAATGGGAGGTGTGGACTATCACACACCCGCAAACCAGCAGCTCCAGGGAGTCTTCTACCAGAGAAGCACAACTCCCTCCCGCCATAGAAGGCACAGACAAAAGGGACAATTTTTGCTCAGTCTGGCCCCTGAAAGCAGATTGTGTGAGGGTTCAGATGGAAGACATTCCAAAATGAAGTGCCTTCATTAATGTCTGTCTGTGCACACCAGAAGCAGGGCTGGGCTGACGCAGCTGAGCCCTACTCCCTGTGCTGTCGTCACCATGGGAAGGGGGAAAAGGAGCAGAGGGAATTTAGTTTGGGGGTTTTGCAGCTTGTGCTAGAGGGTCGGGTAGGCAGCTTGGAGCCCTCCTGAGGTGGGGGTGGCTCCAAGCCACCTGCCCTATCCTCCAGTGCTGGCTGAAAAAAACCCAGACTAAACTCCCACTGCTCCCTAGCCCCCACTCCCATTCTGAAGACAGAGCTGGGGCTGGATGGCGACAGGCACAGGACTAGGGGAGAGCAGCTGCAGACTGGCAGCCTTTCCAAATTGCAGATGAATACCCCAACCCTTGGGACCCAAGAGTGAACATTTATTGGGTCTGGGGGTCACTGTAACTCATAGTGCTTCCTGTGAAGTGCTATGAGTTACTGTGGGGAGCTGCACTTCTGTCTGCGCCTTTTGCATTCCTTTCTCTACCCTGCTCCCCTGCTGGGACTGGCTGAATTCTGCTTTTCTCCACTCACAGAAGCCAAGAGCAGCATTTGGGCTTACACTGAATTTACCTCATTCAGCTGAATGTATGTGTTCCCACCTACTCTGCATATTACAAAACTAACACATGCACGTACATATGTCATCTGGTATATGTCTGGAAATATGAAAAGGCTGTTTGGTAGTTTAAGTTTCCATAATTTAAATGGCCAGGTACAAATAAGTTGTCACAATCTATAAAAACTAATGGTGAGGCTTGACTTCATTTCATAGTTTCATCTAGTTCTTGGAATAAATGTAGTTATGTGTGTTCTAAACAAATTCCCAGCCCAACATGTAGGAATTGTAAATGGCTGTGAAAATATCCACATCCCTTGTAATGGAACGTCTGAAGCCTGAAAGAATACATGATGTTATGGGACAGAACAGAGGAAGAGAGATTAAGTCACGAATAATTCTGCTTCTCTGAAGATTTCTTTTAACTGGATTTCTATATATTAGTGCCAATTCTCTGGCTTGAGATAAGTCAAAGCCATCTCAAACAAGGTCAACTCAACTCAAATGTCAAAGATTTTTGGCAAAACTGTTTGAAAAAAATGAAAGAAAATTGTTTTTGACAAAATTTCCAGAGGAAATTTTCAGATTTTTTTAAACTCTTTTTTTTTAAACAAAATGTTTGAGGTTGAAATCCCAGTTTTCCACAGCTGACTGAAATAAAAGAACATGAAATATAGGAAATGAATTCATGCTCCCAAACTGCTCCTGGGGAGTTCTTCCAGTCTGGTCTATGCCAGAAAAACAGGGTCTGAGTACAAACTTCATAACCAAAGAATGGATGTGGTGTTTACATGCTGTCATGAGCGGAAATGTCTCACTGTGGATAATACAGGGTTCTCACATACGTCCAATGTAGTGTTTTGTGACTGCTATCTTCTGCATCAGGTTTAATGAAGACTCAAAATGGGATGTGAATTAGCACAACAGGGATACTTTTAGTGGGATGTACCACAAGAATCAGATTTTCCCATTCTGACGTTGACTTTTTATTTGCCAGTTCAGTTGCAAAAGTGTCCAACAGCACATATCACAAAGGAAGCACCAATAAGCAGAAGGCTGAACATGCATGGAAATTACATGCTAATATGCAGATCAGTTCAGTGAAAACTTCTGCACTTAACATTACATAAATTTGAGGCATTCTGCTGGATTTTAGCCAATTTAAAAAGATATATCTATCTGTAGCTTGACAGAAGGATAGCTCTTTCCTCTTTTCATCCTAATTAAAGGTAAACTGCCCATGGTCAGACCAAAGTAAATATAAAACTCATGGCTCAACACAAATCTGCTCTTATCTGAATAAAGTTAATGGTGTCTGTTGACACTGCATGCTGTAGGGTGATCAAGGGGGATTATAGTGTTTCCTCAGATATGGGAAGATGCAACAATGGAAACCGATAATGCAAGACATGAGGGAGAGTTTCCATATCGTGTCATTTTAGATATCAGTTTTTAAGGTTCCGCAGCAGGAAGGATGGTCTAGTGGACAGGATGTGAGACTGGAATTCAGGAAACTTAGGCTCAGTTCTAGGCTCTGTCACAGGCAACCAGTGAAACTTTGGCAAAGTCATTTTCTATATTATGTACCTCTCTCTGTAAAATGGAGAGATTACTAATGTGACTAGAATGATAAATAAACTCAGGTTTATGAGGTGCTCACATGATGTGGGTGATAAATAAATAGTAGGAAGTGCCAACTGTGCCATGCTACAAGATACCCTAGACCAGGGGTTCTCAACCCCGGGCCGTGGCCCGGTGCCAGGCCGCAGTGGGTTGGCTGCTGGTGCACAGCACAGTCAGCTGCCAGACTGGAAGTGACCACGCACCGGCAAACCGTAGCCCCCCCCCCCGCCCAGAGCTAGGCGGAGAGGCCACGGCTCGTTCTGCAGCAGCGCAGGGTTTGGCCTACACCCCTGCCTGGGGGATGGGGGTATTCTTACTCAAATTCCAACTGTGGTTGGCTGTGACTGCTGGACCATGGTTTGCTGGGCTGCGGCATAAAAAATTTGGGAACCCCTGGCCTAGACAATAGCAGGATACCACTAAAAGTAGATCCCACTCCTAACTGGGGAAACATTCTTATTGTAGGAAATGGCTCTCACTATATTTGATGTCTTTCACTACACTGACGCACATGCACACCAAAGTGTTACGGTCCATTGCGAGTATAAAGTCTTAAGTGTCAGCTTGATTGACAGAATGTCTAGTGCTTGAGTTACATGATCTTTCTCCTTTTGGTAACATGACATTTTGGGGAAAATGCTGTTTGTTCTATGACAGATTATCCTGGTCTTTCATCTTATCTACTAAATGACCTCACCCTTTCAGCATAAGCACACGATAGATGTGCTTCAAGTAATGCAAGTCCCCATTGGGCTTTACAATAACCTTTTGAGCAAATGTTTAAAATGTGCTTGGTATTAGAAGGTGAATGAAGATGAGTCAGTTGGCCCACTGCTAGTATGCCATGCTACCACACAGGGCAACAGAGCTCAGGAAGGTTGCTTGAACAAGAGAAGTTCAAATGTTTGCCATTTTTAAGACAACACATAACGAATGAATTCCAAGCTCCCTCGTCTAGGAGCAGTCCTAGTAAAGAGAGTGGAAATGGCAAATAACACATCTGCAGAGCTTGATTGTCTTTAGAATAGTTTATACTATACCATTGGCTGCATAAAGAAAAAGGTGAGAACATTCATTTTGTAGTGTATCAGCATGCTCAACTAACTAAAAAAAACCTAGAAAATGGCTTCTCTGTATTATATGTGGAACGGGAAGAGCACAGATCCACAAATGTCTAATGTTTTTCAACCAAGAAGCCTTTGATTTACCAGTTCTTCAAATAGATCCATTATAGGCTTTTAATAGACTAAATTGTGTAATACATCTATAGGACATACAGTAGTTGAATAGTATATACAGATGGCATTTTACAAAATTAGAAAGAATTGAAATAGAGCAAAATCCAACAATGCCTTATCCCATAAAACTTTCTTTCTGCACTACATGAAATATTATCCTACAAGCTAAACTAGAAAAATATGACTGAATGTCTTTTTTTAGTTTCTACAAAGCTTTTTCATCCAGAAAAAAATTACAAAACAACCATTGAGTTATCAGATAGACAACACTGTTGCACACAGACAAAATAAGTGGGCATATACAGACCTGCAATTTGAATACATAGAGTTTGTTTTTATAAAGTATTTTTTCTCTCTCCACCTCACTGTCTTATTTTAGGGCTGCTGGCCTTTCTACAGCAAAATACAACCTTCTCCTTTTTTGGCTCTGTGTAATTGATAAACTGAAGCCATTTGGCTTTAGTATAAAGCCTGAATTTTAAGAATCCATTGGTTTTTTTACTTCAAATATTTAAAGGGCATAATATGAAAGACAAAATAGGAAAGAGAAAAATAATTAGTCTCAAAAGATGAAGTCTGGAGACTCATTACGGCTGTAGTTTTATGTAATATAATGAAGTAGGTATTCATGTGTCTTGGTAACAGAAGTGTTCCTAACCCACATGTAGAAGCTTTGGTGTTTCTGGGGAAACTTGCTGAAGAAAGGCCCACTGAACTTTGGGTGGAAGCAAGATATGGGCCACACTGGTTGGGAAGGGTATGCAAAAGCTGGCAAAGCATAAAACCTGGGGAAATGTTTTTAAATGACAATGATTTTCCCTTTTTGAAATTAAAAAAAGCCAAGGAGGTATGTTCAGAGTCACCCATGCAGAGTGGGGCAAAACTGTTGATTATTACTTGAGCTAATGCTCATAGTTAAACCCAGGGTCTTTCCAGGGTTTGTTAAAAGTTCTGGACCATGAATACAAAAGCACAGGTTTTAAAGAGTGCCACATATCCACCCAGTTGCCTCACTGGTTCCTTAAAGTCTGACTACTTGTGTGTTTTTCTGTACTGGTGAAAATGATATACACCATGCCCAGTGCTGTGCTCCCCTTAGTGCTGTTTTCATTGTCCCAATGCCTGGCTGGCTGGCCGGTCCCTAAGTACATAAGGTGTTACTCAAGCAGGAGTCTTGAGTTTGTTCTTGCCTTTCCAATTTTGTGAAAAACAGTTCTGCCACCACACAAAAGGGGATGACAAAGACCAGGAGCCAGGCACCAGAAAGAACTGTAAGAAACTCTTGAAACTTGCAGTTACTCCCACAAATTTTGGACAGTTTTCAACCAGGATTTCATTCAAACAAGAATATTAATTGGACAGAAATAAGCAAAGAAGTCAAAGGCAGGCAGGCAAAACAAATTGTTATGAAGATTCAGAGAGCAAAGCTGAACCTAAATATCGCATCATAGTATACTAAACTGCTTATAAAAGGGTCATTGATCCCAAGCACCCCAAATAATGAACTATATCTTTATAGATAAATTAATCTTGCTTTGAAGTAAAATAGTCTCTTTCCTATGTATTAATAAACATTCATTGCACAGAATTCTTTGTAAGTAAATATATTAAATTTAGTAGCTAAGAATGTATAAAATTATCTTATTAATACATCTGGCCAGTAGCTATTAGTGATCATTGCACATTGAAAAGCTTCTTTCAGGGAAAATTATTACTGGACGGAGAGTGCACCTGGAAGTAAATTTAGAGTGACTGTTGGAAGGAACGGTGTTATTCCCATCCATTTCCAGCAAGCTGCTCGTTCCAGCTGAGACACTGATTAGAAGCGCAGAACCTGTCCAGTCCTGAGAAGGAATGCACCGTGGATGCTCCCGCCCTGTACCGTGATGGTTACTGATTGGTGGAATCCAGACAGCATTCCATTACATTCTGGCAAATGGGAAGTCAGTCCGGCCCAAAACATCACCTGCCAGGGGCTAGGGCCCAGAGTGGGGCTTTCCCACCAGAGGAAAAGGCTACAAGGACCACGGCAGACACAGAGAATCCAGGCAAGCTTAGGGTCATCCATGGTGCTCTTGTTCTCAGTACCAGCTCTGGCCTCTAAGGTGCATAATCCACATCTCTCTGGCTGTACCTGCTCCCAGGGCCTCAACAGAAGAGATAAGAGCCCCAGGCCATATGTTCTTTAATAGTTAGTGTTAATATGGCAGGCGTGAGGATGAAATACATCTCCCTGAGCCCTACCCTGCCCATTCCTCCCACACACTGCCCCATTTTTCCCTCTTCCCCCAGAGCAGACCTTGAGCTGTGGAGGAAGGTCTGTGTGGGATGCAGAGGAGGGGCTGCCTCATGTTATTGCAGTGAGGTCACTGGGGACAGTTTGGGCCTTATTTTATACACCAGACATAATAAAATAATAGTCACAACAGTTCTTATGAAAACTGTGGAACAAATTCAGCCCTGGTGGAAGCAGGGGCTGTTTCTAGTGGCTTCAATGGAGATGGTAATCCATCACACCAGGGCTGAATCAGGCCCTGAATTGTGTGTACAAACAACACAATCCACCCAATCAAATCTACAACAAACAGTCTCACTCTACAAACACCAGTGACTAAGTATTCCAGTTCATCAATGCACATCAATAAAGCATTTCTAAAACTTCTGACTTCTTGTTTAAAATGCAGTTAATAAGAGGCTGGTTCACTTCAATTTGCACAGATTGGTCAAAGGGTGAGTACTGCTCTAATCTGTACCTACAAAGGTAATCTTGAATTTCTATGTCACTATTTATGCAAATGTTACACTTGTGTCTCTATACAAAAAGTTACAAAGTCAAATGGTGACATTATATTACAGCTATTGTCCATAATATCACAGTGCTAGTTATAAATGGCTAAAAACAAGAAAGATTTTTAGATTTAACAAGTTCCTTCTGTAGAATGATAACCCCCTTGTGCTGCTGTTGGTACCTGAAAGCAGCCTTGCTTTAAAATGTGAATCCACTAAAATATGCTAATTGAAATTGAGAGCATTTTCACTTTGTGATCACATTGTAACTGAAATGTGGTTTTTTTTAATGCATCCCATTGGTTCTTCAGGAAAATTAAGCAAATAATATGAATCCCAGCCTGAAAAAATTTAAATGTTGAAATATAAACAGTTCTAAAGCCCATACATTTCTGACCATGTATTAACTAAATAAAAACCTTTGCAGATTTAAATACAGATTATTTTGACATGTCTTCAGAATGTGTTAGCTTTTCAACAATGCTCACAATGAAGTTTCACTTCTGAGACCTGGCGGTTCCTAGTCATCCTCTTCCGTTCTGTTTTCAATGGTATCTGTATTGTCTTCCGCTTCTTGAGCTGGATGTGCTAAAGTATCTGCAAAGAGGTAGTTCATCAGTATTTATTTCCTCATATGGCTATGACAACCCTGCTTGATTCACTGTGCTCGCTGAAGTAGATAATACACATTTGTGTGTTCAGACTTACAATTAGTAATTAACTGTACTTTCAAACCAGCTGTGACATTCAGAGTAGGGAACACTAGCTGCACAGCAACTCAAGTTTCCAGGTGACTACAGACACCGAAAATTGATATTACTGAAATGGAAAGGTGCTGATTACTCTTGTTTAAGGTATAACAACTCCCACTGAAGTCTCTGGCAATGTAGCAGCTGAATAAAGACTGCAGGAACATGCCTTGTTAATGAAATCTGCTAGAGCTCCCAGTACCAAGGACCTCAGATACTGGTCTTTCAACTATTGCTCAGCAAAAATTAGTGGTCATGATACGCAAGCAAGGCTTGTAAATGTAGATCCTTTTAACATTTCCTCTTGAATTAGACAGAATGATTATACCCTGCTATCGCCACATGCCTAAAGCCCAAAAATACCAGCTGAAATGGCGTATCGTTTGACTGACTTCAAGAAAAGAGCTATTTGCTATTGCCTGATTCTGCCTCTTGAAGATAAGGGAAACTGCAAACAGCAGGGGAAGAATATAGCATCTGATTTTGCAACCACTACTCTCAAAGGCAGCCCTGCTGAAGCCAGTGGGAGTTAGGACTTCAAATGTTGATGCCTTTAAATGCAAACTACATAAAAGTTTGTAGAGATGGGGGAATATTGAAGCTAAACAAAAATGGAACAAATAGAACAGCCTACATAATGCAGATCTTAGTATAAGACATATACTCTGACACGTTCATATCTCTAGCTAGAAATTTACCACTACGTGACACCATTAGTGATTATGCCTGAGCACGTTAAAAATAACGAACATCTCAGTAACAGTCTGAAAACACACAGGTATTAGACATTTTGCTTCTAAGCTAATATATATATGTATATATACAGAAGGTGATTATACAGCTTTTGAGACGCTTGTTTCTTGGGTCACAGTGAACTGCTAATATGTAACAAGCTGACTTTTGGTCATTTGAATAGACAGTGGCAAATTTGCTGGATTTTAAACTTTTCAGATACTCTAGTGCAGAGGTGGCCAACCTGCAGCACAAGTGCCATAAGTAGCACAGGCAGCCTCAGCAGACTAGAGAGGGAACAGGGAGCATGGCCTCAGACAGAACAGGAAGCAGAAAGGAAAGCAGCAAATCAGGCAAACAGCCCAGGGAAGAAAGCAGAGCAGCAGATCAGGCAGGGGAAGGGATGGGAGTGGCATTCAAGGATGGTAGAGGGCTAATTTATAGCCCCCCTGCCACAAGGTTGGCCCCCACTGCTCTAAAGATCTAGAGTTGGAGGAATG